CGACCGCGTTATCGAGAGCTCCGACGTAGTCCAGGCTCCCTCTTCTTCCTCCCGATCCTGTGGCTCCCGACCGAGTCCGCGAGTCTGCACTTCGAGACGCTAGGGATCCGTCGTTTCCGACCAAGTGCGAATGAGGCCGACGCGAAGGAGTCCGAGTTCGTGAGCCATCGACGAGGCCTAGGAACCCTGTACACAACGCCAAAACCCAAGAAACAACGACGACGACCCCCATCCTGGCGACGACGACCCCCACGACGAACCCCTCCCCCTGTATGGCTATCAGCGACGCCGACGTTCGACGCCCCACGACAGAATGACGAGACAGGCCCCCTAAGGAACTTTCCAGGTGCCCTATCTGAGGAAGCCCCGTATGGAGTTCTCTATGATCTACAGATTCGAGAACATTTTCACCTGACCCAGGAAGAAGGCCCCCTTTGGCTTCTAGATCCTCTCCGTCTCGGCCTGCTCCTAGCGTACCTGGCAAAGCAGTGGCACCCTTTGCCGTTTTGTAGATACTTGTCCAGGGTGGAACAGGGTGCTATATACTTCAAGGCAGCGAGTATGTGCCACCTCTTCTTGACCAACTTTACACGACAGCGAATGGCGAAGTTCCATTTGAATCGACATTTGAAGGTCTTGAATCTGCCAGCCGCGAAGTTTCCAGTGCTCCGTCTTCCCCATGAGTTTCGACACCCGACCTACCAGCAAGTTGTGAGAGGATCCGTAGTGCAACTAACCCGAAGCATGAAGTTTGAACCGGCACGCAAGTGGTACCAACGACCAACCCGAGTTTCGTTTAAGGCCCAGCGGAAGTGGAAGGACAAGGTGTCGGTCAGTAACTTTTGTGCTACCTACTCATCATCCTGCCTACCTGCTTCAGTCAAGGAGTCTCAGTTTGTGTCTGGTCCTCTACACCTACACGCCTTACCAGGATATTGGCGTCTTCCAGTGTGGTCCACTCCTAGAGTTACTCTACGTTCGGCTCGTGTGGCTCTCCAGGAGTGGCTCCAGGCAGCTAGACTAGGTCCTGTGCAGGTGCGTCGTGGACTCAGGTACCTATCCGAGAAATTCGCCAACATGACAAAACACCAAGAAGACCCCAGAGGACCCCAGCCACGTCAATGGCAAGACCTCGAGAGTACCCTGAAGACCTCTGTACGTGATGCCAAAGGCCTAACCATCATTGCTGATGATAAACAAGGTGATAAAGCATGGGCAGCAGATGGTGTTGATGTGATACGCTGGCTCCACCAAACGGCTGAACTTGATGATGATTGGACTGTTCGCTACGATATATCTAGATATGATGCTGCTGCGTGGCTCTGGGCACGGGCTACACAAGGTCTCCCTGCGTGGTTACGAAAGGGAAATATGATGCCCCCCCCGTCCAAGACCACGAACCCCCCGTACGTTTTCCCCACGGTGAAGAGTAAATGCTTTCTGGATGATGGAACCCGATGTTGCACGAAACCAGGACATAGCTGTATGAGACGTATCGTAAACTCGGCAGATGCACCAGGAACTGAAGGATATAGGTATGTTGGACGAGCTACCCGTCACTTATTGAAGGCGAGTGGAGTGTCTTGTGAGGTGTTTAATATGAATGACGCGGCTCAGGAAGTCCGAAGAATCCAGGCTGAGCTTGATCCTCCAGCTACAGATACGTGCCTGCGATGCGGAGGGATGCTCCGCAATGTTTCAATTGTTGTAGCAGATGCGGACCAGGCGTATGAGCAGTGCAACTCAAGTTTGATCGGTGAAGCATGGCGCGATGTCTCTCGGCGTATTGTACACCAGCTCGGCACGGACGCTGCACTGGTCAAGAGAGGACGTGAGGTAAAGACCCGCACGTTCTCAACCGGCACTCCGCCGAACTACTTCAAGATTTCAGTCTCGGATATCACGTCCACTTTAATGGCGTACTGCTGGCTATCGTTAGTCACGATCGGTGGCGTGGTTTATGAACTGAGAGGCTTGCCCATAGGGGGTGTCCTCTCAGGCGTTGCTCTGTCCATCCTGCTCGCCTGGTATGAGCTGCAGGCCCAGAGGAGGCCAGACCAGTTCGCGTCATCGGGCTTTGAAACATCCTCTACTACTTCCTCTTCTTTCCCGTCGTCGTCTACATCGGTCGGGGTTCGACAACGTAGATATGTGGATGATATTTTAGGTGTGAGTAAAGTTTATTGCAGATTATGCGTTTTCGAGTACTTGAAATTGGTTTACAAGGTGAAGCTGTCCCCCGCATCCGACCTAGAGGACCCCGAGGCTCCCTGTATCTGGCTGGACCTAGAGCTGTGGCCCGACGAGGACTCCTGCTGGATTGCCCCGAAGAATGATAACAGACCTTGGCTTGTACAGCATGAACCTGGACCCCGTCCTAAATCCAACATACCCCCCTGGCCTGGTGTGGCCCCGAGGGGCTTTGGTATGGTTGTAGCTTTGTTTTCTGGACGTCTTGCGCGTGCCCAGTACCTATCCCTGACTATCCCTGTAACACTCTCGTGGATCCTGGAACTGGCCCTGGAGATGCACATACTACAATACCCACCCAGATTGATCCTGGCAGCCGTACATGCGTGCCCCTGGTCCGTCGCCATCCAGAAGGCTCGAGTTGTACTTCGGCAGTGGTGCAGATATTTTCTACCAGAAGTTGTCCGAATGGGCCGTTCGGACGAGAGACGCCAGCCATGGGTCAAGTACGATTCAAGACGTGATGACCGTCGAGGGGGTGGAGGTTCCTGGTTCTCCGATCGTGACCAGTGGACCAAACGTGAAGGTGACAGGGACCCAGGCTATGATAGACGTGAGTGGGACCGCCGCCGTGAGAGCTACAGCAATGACAAACACCACGATCGCGATCGTGATCGTGACAGGCGTCGGAGCCCTGATGATCGAGACGACCGCCGAGAGCGCGACCGTGACGACCATCGTGGGGATCGGGATCGGCGCCAGGCTCGCTCTCGCTCCAACTCTGTGCAGAAGCGTGAATTGGAGATGATACGACGCGAGCTGGCCGATCGTGACCCAGAGTATCGTGCGTTTGTCAAGGACAAGAAGGACAGGGCCGAGGAGATGCAGCTACGCCGCCAAGGGGAGTACATCGCGGCTGCGATGAAGACGGCCTTCGGGGACCGCATCTCGAAGCTCGAGGGCGACAAGGACAAGGACAAGGACTCCAACAGGGACAAGGAGAAGGACGACGCCACGAAGCGTACCTGGACCCCGACTCCTGTTGCCGAACCCCCCGATGCTGGAGATATCATGGGGCGACCAGAGGTCGGATGGCTTCAATCTATAATTGGGAAAAAATGCAGTCTTCCTGGCAAGCTTAGCTGGGGCCAAGCGACTAAGATGCTCGAGGAGGCTATGAAGGACAAGGTTGTGGTTGGGCAGTGCAACAAATGCATTGAGGCCCACTTCCCGCGCAAGCAGGTGCCTGCCTCCAAGACGAAGAAGGCCACGATGGTGCTCAACATCATCAACGGCTCGGCGATCTGAATGGAGACGGACCTACGGGAAGCTGATTGTGACGACACCCTTGGAGATGAAATCTATGATGATTGCTATCTCGGCCAAGTTCACCGTGAGTATCTTTTGGTTTCATTTCTAGCAGGCTTCGTGGTCGCCTGTGTGATCTGGATTTTACTGCCGGTTGACGATTGGCCGATTTCTCGTGTGTTGAAAGCATATGTGACGCTAAATTGGTCCCATACGCGTGAAGTATGGTATTTACAGAATCTCATGAATTATGTCCAGTTGCCCTTCACCTTGGCCGACTCTCAGGAGAAAGCGGTGGTGCAGCAGGTGGTGACAGGACTCATGGGCGCTTCAATCCCGATGCTCATGGGATGCGTTCAAGGTCGGCCGAATATGAACCTCCTTTCCCTGACTTCCCTCTCCAAAAATACGAAACATCGGAGGCAACTTCCTAATGATGTGCCAATCGTGGATTAGTGCTGATCGGGAGTTCTGAGCTCGTATTTCTCCTCCCCTGTACCCCGCCTGACGCCAGCGACCCGCCCCACCTCCGAGTTGAATAGGTGCTTGGACTGTGCTACCACGGGTGGCCGATCAGTCCGTCCTCGCCCTCACCTAGGCTCCAATTCGGGGGACCCAGCTGGCCAGACCCAGACGATATGACGACGTGTGAAGACGACGACGACGATGTCGACGATGAAGGCGACACGAGGGCTGGCTCTGCAGGACCCGCCCCTCCTTGAGTGGCAAGGCTTCGCCACCCTGGACTCCCACTCAAGGCCCAGCTGTAGGTTTTCCCTCACCCGCCTCCGACGTTTACGATGAGATGACTGTCCTCCCCTCTCCCCTCTTCGGTGCCGTGCCCCTGTCCGCAGGCGCTCTGTTCCCCGTGAGGCCCTCCCCCGCGAGGCGGGAGACACCCGTGGGTGTGCATCCCTGGAGATGCACGGGGTGTTCAAGGTCTCCCTTCCTCCATCCTCTGTCCAGCCTCCCCCTAGAGTCGGCGATACGACCCCCAACAGCATCATCACCAGCTTCAGCCAGGCGCGCCCACGTGATGGGCCTCTCTCTCTCTCTCTCTCTCCCACCCGAGAGTCCTTGTGATCCTACTTCCCATCCTTCTCTCTCATCCCCACGTTGTGTTTTTCCAGTGTTCTGTTCCTCCGCTCGTTTCGGCTTAGGCCATACGAGGGTGTCAGGCGCCCAAGGCACGCTCACCGCGCACTGACACGGTGCCTCCCGTCATCGACGGGACTCGTGGCCGCAGCGATAAATCAAGGTTCACATTGCTCGCAGAACGGGACTCTCTCTCTCTCTCGCCTATCTTGATCTCTCTCGTTCTCTCTCTTTCTCTCTCTCTCTCTCTCGCCATCTCTCCATCTGTCCCCCCCCCGCACCATTTCCCCTCACTCCCTTCCCTGCCTCCCTCGCCCCCGCCGGCATGTGCAGCAGGCCCGAACAGCGCGCTCTCCCTGCCGCAGCCGCCCCCCTCGCCGACCCCATCGGACGCGGGCGCCCGCCAGGACCGCTGCTGCCGGTGCCCGTCGGCCCCCAGCGGCCAGGCTGCGCGCGCTCGGCGCGGAGCTTCGGGCTGCATGCATCGACGCAGGACTTGGTATCGCTCGGACGTGTGCCCTGTTCCTCGGCGGGGGTGATTAAGGAGCATCCTGGACCATCCTGCGAAAAAACCACGCACGACACCGAGAAAAAACACACGGGGAATGGACGTCCGAGCGATGGCCAGGAGGAGGCAGGCGGAGGAGGAGGAGGAGGAGGAGGGGTAGGAGGAGGAGAAGGGTTAGGAGGACAGAGGAGGGGTAGGAGGGGTAGGAGGTGGAGGGGGTAGGAGGAGGAGAATGGGTAGGAGGAGGGGGTGGAGGAGGAGGAGGAGGAGGAGGAGGAGGAGGCGGAGGAGGAGGAGGAGGAGGAGGAGGAGGAGGGAGGAGGAGGAGGAGGAGGAGGAGAGGAGGAGGAGGAGGGGAGGAGGAGGAAGAGGAGGAGGAGGAAGGAGGAGGAGGGGTAGGAGGAGGGGGTAGGGGGAGGAGGAGGGGGGTAGGGGAGGGAGGTGGAGGAGGAGGAGGAGGAGGAGGAGGGAGGAGGGAGGAGGAGGAGGAGTCTGCCATCTCTGCTCAATCTCTCCTCGGCCGCTGGCATAGCGCCGCGCCGGCTGCCCCGTCGGATCACCCTCCCCCGCGGGGGCCGACCGGGGGCGGGGAGGGTGGATGCGCCGCAGAGCCCTCTCGCCAACAGGCAGCAGGCAACAGGCAGCAAAGGGAATCGCCACGCGCAGAGGGGGGTAGGGGGAGGGGGGAAGGTTTCTTAGAAGCACCCCCGCTCCTTAGAAGGCGCGGGCCTTGTCTATAGATGTAAGGCTGACGCCTTCTAAGAAGCAGCCTCCTTCTAAGAAGCCTTCCCCCCTCCCTCCACCCCCCTCTGCGCGCCGCCAGAGGAAGTTTGGGAGCGTGCGGAGGATGGACAGGTCGAGTGCCGAGCTTGCGCGTCGGAGGGCCTCGCTGGGCTGAGCTGCCCAGAGCAGCGAGGAGGAGGAGGAGGAGGAAGCAGATAGAAGATCTTATGGTGGTGATGGTGCTCGGAATCATGACGGCAGTGTGGGCGATGCAGATTTCGTGCAGGGGGAGGAGTAATGATTGGTGGGGATGAGGAGAGGGGAAGCATGATGAGTGAGGAGGGAGGAGGGGCGAGGAGGCGCCAGGAAGGCGAATGAGAATGAGAGAGATGGAGGGAAGAGGAGATTGAGGGGAGTAACAAGGTGAAAAAGGAGAGGATGGATGGATATGATGATATCCAGTTGCCTGCGTCAAGTCCCGCCACTGTGCTATCCCAGCACTCTTGGTGGCGACTGTTCGAGGGGGCATGGGAGACCGTCACGTGTGACACCTCATGTCCTCAAGCTTGGGAGAGCCATGATGATGCTGATAGTGATGATGCTGCTGCTGCTGCTGCTGCTGATGATGATGATGATGCTGATGATGATGATGATGATGATGATGATGATGATGATGATGATGATGATGATGATGATGATGATGATGATGATGATGATGATGATGATGATTGTTATTCGGATGATTATGATGATTCTGATGATTATGATGGTCATGGTGGTGGTGGTGATGGTGATGATGATGATGATGAGCAGGAGGGGGAGGAGGATGATAATGCTGAGGATGATGGTAACGACGAGTATGAGGAGGAGCGGGGAGGAGGAAGAGAACGGCCGTTACATGTGATACCCTTCGTTTCCACCGATGGATGAGCTCTCATGGGGCTCATTTGCGACGTCCTGGGGCTGCCGTGGGGCCGTCTTGGGCCGTCTTGGGGCCTTATTTGGCCGTCTTGGAAGCTCTCGTGGGCAGTCTTGGGGCACTCTTGCCCGTGTCGTGGGTGTCTTGGGGCCGTCGTAGGGCCGTGTTTGCGCCGTCGAAGGGCCGTCGAGGGGCCTTCGAAAGCAGTCTCGGGTCTCTCCAGAGGCCCCCTTGAGCAGCCTTGGTGGGGCCGTCATGAAGGGTCTTGGGCCTTCATGGGGTCCTCTTGGGCCGTCTTGCGACCATCTTTTGCGACTATTGAGCCATAGTGGGGCTGGTCGGGCAGTCTTGATCTGACGGACGACTGAGAAGGTGAGAATGCGAAAATCCTCCCACAATCTTGGGCTGATCCAGGATTTGGGCCCTCTTGGGTCCACTGTGTGTCCTCGCTGTGGAGGCGTAGTGGGCCATCTTGAGGCTACATTGGGCCGCCTTTGGGCCATCTTGAGCCGTCGTCGGGCCATGTTGGGCCGTCTTGGCGGCCAGGGTTGCTCACCTGGACCGTCTTGCGAGTTCGTGAAGCGGACTCTTCGTGTTTCACGAGGGATCGTGGCCTCGGAGGCGCGGATCCATTGTTTCTTCCGATGGCCTCGGCGAGGGTGGGCGATGCACGCAACTAGCGCAGGAAGAGGGGAGGGGGTCCCTTAGAAGATTACGGAAACCCTACCAGACAGCCCTTGGCATTCTACCACGCCTCAACGTGCCGCCAAGCGGCACGGTGGCGGACTTGTTTCTGGACTACATTCTCCAATGTTGAGACCTTTTCTTGCGATGGCTTGCGAGGCAGCAGGACGCAGGGTCTTTAGTCGGCTGCCACACTGTCCTGTATACACGTGCGCCACCCGTGTGCCCAGCACCCGATACGCAATACAGGTACGCGCGCGCATGTGCCTGCGCTTCCGGGGCACGGCGCGGAGATCATGCAGCCCACGCGTGTGTGTGTGCGATGCGGCCATACCTGTCAAACCTTCGCGGGCAGACCTTGCCACGTCCCGTGTTCAGAACAGCGGCTCCGCCCGGGGCTGGTGACCATCACACCCGCCCGCTGGTCCGACCAGCCGGGCATTTCCGGCGAGCTGTACACTTATGATGGGCCGCTTTTCCACGGCCACTTCTGTATGTAAGGGAGGGAGGAGGAGGAGGAGGAGGAGGAGGAGGAGGAGGAGGAGGAGGAGGAAGAGGAGGAACCATTTTGGCTCAAGCAATTTGCTCGAGGTGGTTCAATGAATCCAGGCTCCCTGCAGCCCTCCTATTTCCCGCACGATCCTCTCCCCTTGAGGGCCATTCACTTGGCCAAGGGATAGAGAGCTCTGATTTCGGCCACGTCCAATCATCGCTCAGGGTGCGGCTACCAGGTAGCCAGCGCGCGATGGGTGGAAAGGATGCTCCTCCCCAGCATATATGCATCTCGGACATGCTGGACGATCTCGAGACCATGCCCACGCTCCCCTCCCAGAGCCAGGTGGCGACGCCACTCCGAGGTGGTGCTGGCCTTGGTGCTGTTCGTGCTGACGGTGACGAGGCCCCCAAGAGTGCTCCACACTCCCCGGGCGCCGCTGGCATTGGCGCGGCGGCAGGCATCCCAGCTGGCGTCCCACTCATTCAGCTCGATCCCCATGGTGTCCAAGCTGTCCCCCCCCTTCCCTGGTGGACAACAACCACAACAGCGTGGTGCAGGACCTGCCGACGAAGCTGCCAGCATGCAGATGCGTGTTGACGGAACCAAGGCCGCCCTTGCAGAGTCGATTTCATTTGTTGATAAACATTCAAGGCTCCCTTACAGCGCTCTCCTCCAGCGTTTCTCAGTCATTCCCGTGCCTCTCCCGCCAGATGGACGTCATAATTAGCGGCGTGGAAGCCAGGTTGACTCAGCAAGACTTTAAACATTGCCGAGCTGGAAGAGCAACCACGCCGTCTTCGTCAGGAGTTTCAAGTGGTGCAAAGTGAAGAGCCTCAACCGCCTGTCAATACTGCTGGCTCTAGATCCGTCAGGCCGATCGACAAGTCGGTGGTTATCGCTCTTTCCCCGAAGCTGGTTGCAAAGAATGTCGCCCTTGACTCGATCAGCCCCTGGCTCACAGATGCCAACATCAATGACACTGAGTACTCGATTGATGAGCAGACGCCGACGGCGACGACGTTCACCAACCCCGAGAGGAAGGTCAACCAAGGCCTTGGCTTCCTCAAGACCTCTGCACCTGGAGTCACGCCACCTGTTTGGCGTCAGTTCCGCGCTGCATCAGTCGCTGATTGTCAAGTCAATCTCTTCGCCGGCCCCGACAAGAACACACTCATGGTGCGGAAGGAAATCGGGCGCAAGAAAGTCAAGAGTGCCCTCCTCGCTAAGTTCCCCAAGAAGCGCTTCATCGTCGGCCGCTTCAAGGGCGAAGCCCTCGCTGGATGGCGCCCACTGGTCAGGATCGCCCCCATCGACGGGCAGGGCGCGCCGAACTTCAGCCGGGCCAACGAGAACCTGCCCGCGGAGAACATGGACCCCACTCGGGCCCGCCAGATCATCACAGACGCCTCCGTCCTGCCCGGGCCATCCGGTGGATCCCCTAGCCGGCGCAGCGCCCTGTGGCATGGTCTCTCGCAGAAGGACGGCCCCCCCCCTCTTCCCGATGCGCATCATCACATGGAACGCGAGGGCCCTCTTTCATCATGATCATTGCCTCCGCGTTCGCAAAGTGAAGCTGCTGCGCCGCTTGATATCTGAACTCTGAATACAATCTATCCGAGAGACGCGCGGTGCAGAGTGCGATGCCAGGGACCTCCTGCGCTTCCTCCACCTCCCCCATCCAGGCTTCTTGCTCTTCCCATGACAACATTCGGGCGGGGGGGTCGTGGCCCTGTTCCCGAGCTTCAGACCTCCCGAATGCAGGCGTTGTCTTACTGGCGGCACCCTCCATCTCTCCTCCTCCCTCGACCCCGCCCCTGGCCGCGTGCTCCTTCCTGACCGCGACAGGGGCAGTGAATGGGGCGCGTTGGGCGGTTCACATAAAGATTTACGAGTTTGACCTGTCGGCGGACGGCAAGCAGCGCCTCTTCAGGGAGATCGCAGATGCGCTTCAGCAAGCGCAGGAGGACCCGCTCAATATAATGGTTCTGGCCGCAGGGGATCTGAACCTCTTCTCTCATCAACCCCTTCCCCTGAACCCCCATGGCGGTGACTTCGGCGCGTTCACTGACCCTCGCCCTCGCCCCCCCCCCCCCCCCCCCCCCCCCCCCCCCCCTCC